ACAACTAGCGATGTCGGGCGTTGCCTGCATCTTGCGCCGTGCTCGCGCACCACGTTCGATTTGTTGGCAGCACACTGTAGGCATCGCCTTTTGTGGGAACGGAGAGGGAGCGTAATCTAGCAGCGCTTGCCTACCGGCCATGAATCGTTATCTTGGCTGGCAATAGATGTCGCCGAAAGCGAATGTGCTTTCTTCTACTGTCGATTGATGGTGCTGTATGCAGCCGCCGCATAACCGCCGCAGAGTGGAGGCCACGTGCTCGCGTGCTCTCTCTAGCAGTGGCCCGACCTGTACATCCATACAACCTCGGCACGCTTTGAAATGAAACAGACGGCATGCCGAGTACGTGTGTGTGTGTTTCCTAGCGAGCAATCTAGATCATAGTCCAAAGCATTTTTCTTGATTAATCCCACATTCCCTGGTACTGTTGAGCATTTGGTACTCATGGGGAACGTTACTTTCAATGTTTGCCGACATGTACACGACTTTGAGGGTGTGTTGAGCAGAGGGCACAATTTCTAGGCGCGACTTCTATCAGCTGCCTTGCTAGCATGCAGACGGCGGTATGCTGTCTAGTCGAAGCGCAAGCTGGCTTGGTACAGAAATTAGTGCCAAACAAGCCTAGGCGTAAAAATGAGAGTTCCTCGACACGCTATGCTATACAGGGCTGCCTACTTTAAAAGAAAAATGCACCTGAAAACTAAGTCAAGATTCCTAAATTGTGTTAATAAACAAATAAGCTGAAAAAAATAAGGAAAGAAGAAAAGCAACGGCAGATACTTGCGTATAGCGTAGGAGCACAATCACTCGATCTTACGCGAGGACGCAAACGACGTATCGATTTCAATTAGGCCACACGCTCTGGGCACTCGACAGGTGGCAATAGACAACGACGCGCGAGCAAGGCAATGTATATTTAGCGTTATTCCATTAAGGATTCGCTAGTTCCTGCTTCAGCAATGAAGAGCAGGTCGATCGGCCAAAAGGCGAAATGGAGCTGCACAGGCGATACGGCAGCGATATGACACCGTGTTGTAGGAAGTGCTGAACAATGGCCACGTATAGGAAAACACACGTGCAACCCCAATGGCCATATCTGCAAGCGCGCAGCTAAGCTGGCAGTAATCGAGGAAGTTGATTAGTGGCACGCGCTGTTTCAGAGGACGCTCGTTCAGCGAGGGGCAGGATGATCGATTCTACGAAGCGGGACACCGGACTACTTAGACGACACGGCGCCGGACATTACGGTAGGAAAACACAAACGAACTTCGCATAACAAAAAACAAAACTCAGGGTAACCAGATCAGTTTGACTGAACGTGTAGCGAGGGTCTATAATTATACAAATGCACTCGTTCTTATACCAATAACGAGATCGCCTTCACCGTACATGCACGAAAGTGAGAAAGATAGTCAATTTCTCTTTGTAATCAACTGCCTTAAGCTCAGCGGTGATCAGCCGTGAAGCGTATACGCAAGACCACTAGCACACTTATAGGCAGGGTGTGAGGATTACGCGAGAAGACTTAACCCTTCAGTGAAATATATTTTAATATTTCTGTAGCCAGAATATTCTGGCTATAGGTGCCTATCATGGACTCCCGTAACACCGGATATTATTTTCAGTGTTACGCAACTTCATTACGTGGGTTATGATCTTTTCAACTTAGACAGTCTCGTGGACTTCGCAACCGTCTAGAGTGTGGTTAAGAAGGGAAGTGACGAAAACACTTTTATCAGAGGATAAGTGATGATTAACTGGTAAATTCAACTGGAGAAATATTCCAAGTTCATTTTCTATACTGTATTAACCGCACCAAGTGCATATCTGCGACATCGAGGGTACCGTTTGCTGTCACTGACATGGGGACCGTCGTCTGCGTATTATTTTGTGCCGAGCATTGTAAATTGAATTGTAGTAAACTGAGATTGAACTGAACTGACATGCTCTTGTATCCGCAAAAGCGGTCTTGCTAAGGCTTTTTCACATAACTTGCGCATGCACCATGAGGTTTTAGAAAAGCCTGCGACTGCACGTGCAACAATAGGAATACTACATTTCTATTTTTGTCTTTCTCGTTGTTTCAACTCTAGTTCCCAATCAAATTCACAAAAGCACCTCCTCTGACTTTTAGTAAATGTCAGTTGATGAACTTAAACGCCGCGTTAATTCATTTACAAACTACCTCAAAGCCTCTGTAAGGTGAGGAGCAAAGAAGAAAAATGAGCTTGTCAGGACGGGCTGCATAATCGTTGCGTAACTCATGTAGTGCGAGGCAGTGAGAAGGAAACCAGCCACCGGCGGCGGTATACGAAATGAGACCCGGCCCAGTTATGGTGCAGCCCTTCCTTTAAGAAGGATCGCTATGCGCCATCGCATGCACGATCGATCGAGCTAACAATCCAGTTGAAAGCGCAACAGCATCAACAACTGCGTAGTTTGATCTCGCCTCCAGACACTGCGCGGAAGGGTGGCCGCCGTAATGGTGAACTATGCCTATCTGGTGCGCAGATAAATTTGTTTTCTTGCCTCGAGCAACGAACGCGCTAAAGCGATCAGTCTCCACGGTCACTGCTTTTGTCCAACAAGAGTCGAATATGGAATTGAGCTCGTTTGTCTCGGGGCCCATTGGCGTATACGCGGTACGATGAGTTTTGGAAATACACAGTGCAGATCTGAACATGCATTTCTCACTGCGCGGCATTGAAAATGCGTTCTGCCTATCGATCACACCAGCTGGTTGGTTCCTTTCTTTTTTTCGGCGCCAACCAAGGACTTGAGCTCGTGTAAGCAATACGCCCCACTTTGTCATCTACAAAGGAAGGCCGTGCTTCATTTCAAGCAACGCCGTTTAGATTCGGACCACCGCATGCGCTTCACTGCGTAAGCTGGCTGTGTTTCCATCACGTTATTTTAGCTGGTCTAGCGTGGTCACATAAAAAAACGAAAAAAATTGCGATAAATGTTTCCTCCTTTGAACAACCGGGGCAGATACCACTTAAAGAAAACAAAGGAACACAACTGAAGTGGTATACCACTTCAATTGTTCTTGAGCAGCGAATTCTGATGCAAAAGCTTTTGCACCACTGCTTTCTTTTAGATGCAAGGGCGGTCATTACAGGAGTGAAACCATTTTTCGGGTTAGTATGTATTGTTTGTGTTATTAGTACTTGCAAGTTATGTACCTCTAATAATTTCCACACTAATGCCATGTGTATGTACAGGTCACCAGGGCATTTGTCAAGCCGTTCTCGCAGCTTTTAGCCTTGGCGATCTTCTAGTTCTTGTCTGGTAAATAAATAAAGTTTGAAAGTTTGAAAGAGAGTCACAGGTCCAATCATACACGCACGCTTCTATAAACTTACCGGAAATGTAAAGGCAAACCAATTTTGACATCCTTGGAACATATGACCAGCATAGCCACACTACGTACTGGCTGTGCGTAATGCGACTCTTCTCACTAGCACGGAGCATATCAACCTCTCGCACCAAATGCTTGAGAGGTTGTGCGAGCGAGGAAATTTGTCACAGGCTTTTAGAAGAAAGTGTTATATACAAGCACACGGCTACAAATTTCAAATACCTATAGTCGGTGACTAATATAGATGAGAATAAAAAAATTGCCCGCAGCTTCCCTCGGGGGAACACTGAGGAGGATGCGGACCATATAATTGGTTAACGGGGTGTTAAAGTGCGACTTACTTGGGTCGATGGCTAAATTGGTTAACGTGGTTGTGAAATGGGGTGTTAAATTGCGACTTACTTGGGTCGATGGCTAAATTGGTTAACGTGGTTGTGAAATGGGGTGTTAAATTGCGACTTACTTGGGTCGATGGCTAAATTGGTTAACGTGGTTGTAGGAGGGGGTGTTAAATGAGTGAACACGTACACACGTATGCGAAAGGGCGGCGCTTGTCGAAGGAACGTCGATCATTGTGTTTGTGGATTCGTTGGAATTCATTTCACCGCGACCTTGGACGTCGACGCGCCGTACAAACCAACCGACGAGCGGCAACTGAGCGAGCGAGCGCCGACCTTGAGTATATATACAGCACGACGGCGCATGCACTGTCAGCTGTTGAATGTTCTCGAAGCGCGACGCCACATGCGCGTCCACTGGAGAATCAGGAGAATTGTAGATGTCGAACGCGGTGTGTAGAGGAGGAAGGGTGCACAGATGGTGGAGGAGTGAAGCGCGCGCGGTGTGTAGAGGAGGAAGGGATGAACAGATGGTGGAAGAGTGGGCGACGGCGCGACGGCGCATGCGCGCGCGTCAGCTGTCGAATGTTCGAGAAGCGGTGCGGACGGCGCACTACAAGGCGCGAGTATAAGATGCTCCGCATCTAAAAGTGTGTGACTGTTCATTTGTGTTATGCGCGTCCTATATACTATAACTGCCCTATGCTATGGCGTATTGGTTAGAAGAAATCTATTACAATTCAACTCTTATCCAAATGTACACAGCCTTCCCAGTCGTCATACGATGTAGATGAAGTTCGTGACTGTGCCGCGTTTGACGTGCACCGACGATGCAGCAGTTCGGAGTGTTTTGCAGCGTTTTATAGTGTTTTGCCATTTCCTCAGCGTGAAGGACACGGCGGAAGCATAAAAAATAAAGGCAATGCGGCCTCGTGGGTGGAACCTATATTTATTCTTAGGCCATCACCAACCATAGCACTTTTGAACTTCGACAATTCGCATCACACATTAGTAAATATACAGCGGGTTGATTCGTAACTCGATGCGCCGAATCCACAATAATGAATTAATTTTAACGCCACTTAAACAGCGATTGCTTTAACAGAGGAATGCTAAAAAAAGACCAGTGCTTTCAAACGTCCGATATGAAAGGAAAGATCGGCATCCTTCCGTTCGTAGCACAAATGTGCAAGAGAATTTATGCGGACTTTTCAGAAACAAAAACTTCTTTGTAGATGAAAAAGTCCCCGCTAAACCAATGGTCACCCGAGGAGAAGAGAAAAGAAGAAAAGTCTACCGACCTCTGTTTTCACAAGCCGGAGTAGATGAGCAACGGGCAGCAAGAAGTGGGTCTTGAAGCGGTGAACATCACCGAAATATTTGCAGGAGCAGACTTCGGACGCTTGACGAAGAATAACGGAACGGACTGAGACGAAGGGCTCGTACAGGGAGGACAGCACTTCCGTCGTCACACGGCCGACATCCTGGGCACGCTGCAGAACATTAAAAGGAGACGTGACGACACTTGTAAATCAATCAATCAACTGATTCATTGATCAATCGATCGACCAATTAATCAATCAATCAACGTACACTACAAGAACTAGAGGAACATTCACAACTAGCGATCGTGTGCAAACTAGCAATGTTTGGCTTCAGAACATTTGTCAGAGTGACATGAACTTCCTGCGATGCATTTTATAGTCCCTCCGTGCAGTCGGCAACTGGAGAACCCACGGCTGCTGACCGGAAAGATATGCAGTTAAACCTGAAGTTGTTTCTAAATAATGTTGTTGCGAAGTCAACGTTTTCGAGAGGTATACTGGCGTGATGCCTCAACTTTTACGTCGTCCTAAATATGCTGACATGCCAACCATGTACTGTTAAGTGAGCCAGAACGACAGTATTGGCGTTTCCGCCCTCAACTGGTGTACGAATAAAATTCTTACGCCACTTGGGGAGAATGCTCTCAGCTTCCTTCCTCCATGGCGTGGAACGACACACGTTTACCATGGTTCTATAGGTCCCCATTTGATCATGACACATGGCTTCTGAAAGAACGATCAAGCAAGCCTCTACGCAGCTTTGATGAACACTCACTGCTCAGTTAGTTAACTAGAGCAAAATAGGGGATGCAATACATATCAGTCTCCCAACTCATAACCTGTGAAAGTCATACGAGCTTTCTGCAATACTGAAAGGCAGCTGACTTGCTCGTCTATAGCACGTTGCACAATGCGCGAGAATCGGAAATACGCCAGACTCATGTCTTCTCTCTTTTACCTTCTCTATTCTTCTCCCAACGTGTACAGAGGCCAAACAGCACAGTGCCTGGACAGCAGATGTTGGTCAGGTGTTTGGAGCTTCCTACAATGCGAGGAGCACTGTGTTCGATTCTCAGCTCTGCCAGGCGCGTACCGGTTTTTCTAATGGTGAGAGAAGTACCATGGCCAGAACTCAATGTTGTGGACACTCGAATCTCCCTCGCTCTTATTTCACTCCCCTTTCCCCTTGAACTAACACCACTGCTGTGTGCTCCCTTATGGGTTGCAGAAATAAACGCCGCTCTTTTCTTAAACCATTACTACAGAGTACAGTGACCTCCACCTATCATTTGTTCATTCAGAAAACTTTATTAGTGTCCTGAAGCCCGGTCTTTTCAGACCGAGGCGGGCCGCGTCCACGTCGTTACCATCAGGCTGAGCCTTGTGGCGTCATCATGGAGCTTCTGGACTGCTCGTAGTTGATCTTGATGAGATGCGTTTTGCACCATCGTCTGCCAGTAAAGCCATTGTTATACGGGGTCGGCAAGAGTCGCGGGACAGCCCGCCAACATGTGTCTGATCCCAATAATGCCACCGCACGCGTCACACTTGTCTTGAATTTCACTGTCAGGGTAAATTTTATGTAGAAAATACGGAGTGGGGTAAGTCTCGGTTTGCAGTGGAAGTAGCGCGACTGCCTGAGCACTGTTCAATTTTGCGTGTGGCAGTGGGAATCGCCTACAAGTAATAATATTTTGTGATACAACGACCTCCCTGTCATTGCTTAACATTATTTGCATTTCTCTCTTTCTCTGAATCAGTACTGAAGTCGTTAAACGTGACGTTCACCAATATAGTCTATCGCAGTCAGCTTAATTACGAGGTCTATGGATTACAATTTGCCGCCAAGCCTCATTCACAGCAAGACGGATGCTGACCCGCAGGTCGCGGGTTAAAATCACGGCTGCGGCGGCTTCATTTCCGATGGAGGCGGAAAAGTTGAAGGCCCTTGTGCTCAGATTTGGGTGCACGTTAAAGAACCCCAGGTGGTCGAAATTTCCTGAGCCCTCCACTACGGCGTCTCTCATAATCATATGGTGGTTTTGGGACGTTAAACCCCACATATCAATCAAAATCAATTCCTCACAGCAGATGTAATTACCAATCATTGTCATTGTCGTCGTGGTTTTACTGCATAGAGGAGAAACAGGGCCTCGAGTTGTAATCTGTTCATGAATGGGGAGTTTAGACTGCACAGTTCTTGAAAGCCCCCCCCCCCCCCCCCAACACACACAAAAAAGTCATGCCACGGTAATTGTTTTCACAGACCTAACGAGTGACTTACCGACAACAATGACAATAGCTGAACGAAGAAAACCCTAATATAAATATAAAAGCAAACAAACGAAGAAGACAGCGATCGCTAATTCATGCGCTCGTTTCATGAATGTATTATTTCTATCATCCTATATTCAATCTTTCACCGCACTGAATTACGGAAAGACACTCCGTTTCATTGAATGCACGCTTCTTTCATTTATGTATTTAGAAAATGGTGTATAAAAAGAGCACTCCGTATATGTTCTTATGCAGCCAACCACACAAGATAGAATCAAGGTAAGAAAGAGGTGGTATCTGTCTGGCAACAGTGAATGCAAATTGGAAAAAAGCAATGACGCGTATGCTGCGCTACGACGTTTAGATCGAACTATATCACTTTGTTGTCTTAAAGAACAAAGTGTTAAAAGCAAGAAAAGGGGGGAGGGGACAAAAATAAATGGAGAAAAGAAACCGAAAAGAAAGTAAAAGAACGAGAATATAAAGAGATGAAGAAAGATAAAGGCGCCCAAACGAACAGTATACACGGCGAAGGTGCGCATCGGAACCTATGGTATTCAGGTACCGCAGCATTGACGCGATCTTTCCCGTACCTTCACCAATACAGAGCCATGACGTTTCCACGACTCCTCGCATTCAACTAAGTGGGTCGATGATATCGAAAAGGAAAGGACCCGGCTTATTTTCGGGCATAGTGGAACACTGGGCACCATGGCAGAAAACACGCACGACTCTTATCACGTCGTCACCGCCTGAACAGACAGCAGTTCGTGATCGATGCCCAATTCTTGCGGTGGCTTCCACGGTACAGGCGTGTTTGGCCGCAGCGACGCGGTGCTGACGATCAAGACAAGCAGCCCGCAACAGTGACCCAGGGGAACGCTCTGGGTCAATGCGAGCACGCGCAGCAGTCGGTCTCACGACTCTGCTCCCGGCAAGGAAAGTCTCAGCGGGGTGTGTCAATCCTTTGTTTCTCTCCAATTCACCTTCCAACACTCCGTGTGACCGACAGCGGAATGCACCTCACGGCGGGCTCTCTACGCAACGATGGGAGATTAGTTTCACCAGCAAGTGTTCAGTGGCCTCTCCATACGGCGTTATGAATGAAAAACAAGACAACGCTGTCACAGTTTGAGCTATAGGCTTCCTTTTGGCAAACTTCTCACTCAATCAAAACGAAACGGACCTCTTTTGAATAAGCGACACTTTACGGAAAGGCGAACCTGATCGTGACAGCTTGCTTGGAAAGAGCGCCCAACAATATTCATAAAGGCACACGAACCGGCATATACGATGGCTCTCTTCAAGAAGTCACGACTGAGTGGCTTAGCGATGCCAGTGATGAAAAGCTTTTCCGCCATATTTCTTCCCATAGTCTTAATTTTGTTGTTTCATTGCAGCAAATAACGACGCAAATCTCGTCCACTGCAAACATCCGCGACACTTTATTGACCAAGACAATGAGTTAGATAAAAGAAAGAGAGCATCGGGTATATCAGTAATGTGGGAATAAAAAAGTAAAAGATGTAATTAAATGCTGCCTGGGGAACTACCAAACTTCTCCAAAATGGGGAAATCGATCCCTTTGGTAATGTATACAGCACGTCACATTGGAACGATCAGACACGAGAAAAAAATAGTTGACAAAAAGTCGGTACTTTGGAATGCCCCACAGTCAGCTTAGTCATATGGTTTTTGTGGGGCCTCCAAGGCGGCCCTGTCGGAACGTCATTACATATTTCGTATACAAAGACTATCACTGACATGCTCATTCCAACAAATATAGAACTTTTTATTGACAAAATGTAAGGAGATGTTGACGCACAAATATTAGTGCACTTCAGGTTTTTTTTCTTCCAAATTTAAAGTAATAATAATCACCTTTTTCTAGAATGTCAATAATTTCACGATATTAAACGCAATGGTGCGGAATGGGCCCTTCTATTCTATGTTAATTCCATTCCGGGGAATGGCAACTTTCTGTTATTCCATTCTTTTCGATTAATTCCTCGCAATCAAATAACTTGGTCCATTCTAACTCCGGGAATGACCAGGCAGGTCAATTCCATTCCTAAAATTTCTTAACGTTAGAAAGGCGTCTCTTGATAGCTTTATAGAACTAAGAATGACTGTAACAACATAAATCTGATGTCATAAGATGCATAAGAACTGAAGAGCTACGCTAAACACGTTACCACGGTCGAGGGATTGTGGCTTGGTAACTTAAGTCGTGCAGTATACAATCACCCTACTAGTTCCTATAGAGGCAGTTCTCCCGATACTTACGGTATTTACATGCGTAGCACAATCATAAAAAAGTTAGGAAATAGTTGGAAACGCATGCATTTACTTGTTTCGAGCTTATTTTACCTTCGCGGCAGCTCTTTACTATAGCCAACAGCTAGTAAAGCTTGAAACTTTTGCCGTTACTAACCAGGAAGGAATGTTTTCCTGGTCTTTTTAACTATAGGTAACTACTAAGCCATATACGTTGCCAGATCTCTCGTAAACACCACCGTATATAGTGCAGTAAATATATATGACACTCTTAAGAAAAAAATTGACCAATCTAGTTTTTGTGAGTTACTTTGGAACAAAAATTTCGTGCTAAGTGATGGCACACATATATAGAAAGGCAGACTGTGTGTACAAAGCGTCCTTTATTTTTCTAACTTATACTACTGATAATCACTACACAGTGAGCTATTCCAAGGTAGGATCATAAACAGCCTTCAAATAGCTGCTATGTACAGTATTTGATTGATTGATATGTTGGGTTTAACGTCCCAAAACCACTATATGATAATGATATACGTCGTAGTGGAGGGCTCCGGAAATTTCGACCACCTGGGTTTCTTTAACGTGCACCCAAATCTGAGCACACGGGCCTA